ATGGTACCATGAAGTGGCACTTCTCTCAGTTAAGCACAGGGCCTTTCTCTTCACATCTAGTCAGAACAACATCTAAGTTGAGAAGGCATGAGTCGAAGGAGTCGCCGAAGACAGTCAAATGGCATACACCGAAAAGCATAAGTACCAAAAGGACAGGTAAAAGTAGTCTTATCCTAATCCTCTAGTGCGATATCGATATGATAGTAGCCTGAGTAGCCATCAAGAAAGCAATAGTAAGGATGACCAGCCACACGTTCTAGGATTTGGTCGATGAATGGAAGCGGGAAGTGATCCTTGCGGGTGGCGGCGTTCAGCTTTCGATAGTCAATGCACATGCGCTAACCCGTCACAGTCCTTATGGGAATAAGAACCCCTTTCTCATTCTCCACCACTGTCACCCCTGATTTATTGGGCACTACCTGAGTTGGACTGACCCACTTGCTATCGGCAACTTGATAGATGATTCCTGCATCCAGAAGCTTCAAGACTTCATTCTTCACGACCTCTTTCATCGTCGGGTTCTGTCTCCTTTGGGCATCCCTTCGTGGATTAACCCCGTCTTCCAAGTTAATGTGATGGGAGCAAATTAAGGGGCTAATACCCTTAATGTCAGCAATCGTCCAACCTAATGCCGATTTGTGTTCACGCAGCAAGTCAACTAATCGCTGCTCTTGGAATGCATCCAGTTTAGATGAAATGATAACAGGAAAGGTATCAGCAGCTCCCAGGAAGATATGTTTCAGATCCTCAGATAGTTAAACCAGCTTGAGTGTTGGGGTCTCTTCAGTGGATGGTTTTGGCTTTTCTTTCTCTCGAGGTAGCACTTCAAAGCGTGGTGGCCAAAACTTAGTTCCTCTACCTTGTGAGTCTTTGAAAATAGCAATGTTGTTGGTCAACTCACAAGGACCGGAACTCTCAGATTCAGAAATACGGAGGAAATCGTCAAGATCATCAGAATTGCTACGCAACTGAACCTCTTCCGAGACAAGTGTGTCACTTAGAAATGTTTCGTGGCACTCGTCATCATCACGTGGTTGCTTTGCAATGTGAAAAACATTCACCTCCAAAGTCATATTTCCAAAGGATATTTTCATCAGACCATTCTTGCAGTTGATGAGTGCATTTGTTGTAGCAAGGAAAGGTCTTCTGAGGATAATGGGAATTTTAGACTCCATACTCACCACGAATTGAGTATCTAAGACTAGAAAGTCAACGGAGTAATAGAACTTATCAGCTTGAACCAAAACATCCTCAACTATCCCCCGAGGCTTCTTGATTGATCGATCAGCCCGCTGTAGAACCACAAACGTGGGCTTAATTTCTCCAAGACCAAGTTGCGAGTAGACAGAGTATGGCATGAGGTTAATACTCGCTCCTAGATCAAGCAAAGCTTGGCTGAACTCATGTGTCCCAATCTGACAGGAAATTATGGGACAACCGGGATCCTTGTATTTGGGCAGTGTTTTCTGGTTGATCACCGCGCTTACCTGTTCTGTTAAGAATGTTGTCTTCTTGACATGGTGCTTCCTTTTGACAGTGCACAGATCCTTGATAACCTTAGCATAAGCAGGCACTTGCTTGATAACATGAAGCAAAGGAAGATTAATCTTCACTTGAGTCAAGTGCTCTAGGATCTCACTTTAGTGTCCCGGCACTTTCCCAGTTGGACGCAGTGCTTCGGGAAAATGCACCTTTACCGGAACATTCATTGGCTCATCTTTTTCAAGGACAACTTCCTTACTACTCGAAGTGGTGACACTTGTTGGCGGTTCTTCCATAATCTTACCACTACGAGTAGTGATGGCATTCACCTCCTTAATACTTTGATTATCAGAACATGAAGTTTCTGCCATATGTTGGCCCTTTAGGTTTGACTAAGCTTGTGAAGGGAACTTACCGCGTTCGTGATTTGACTCTTCATCTCTTTACTTTCTTCCACCATTTGCATGAACAATGACTCAAACTTTTGATTCGTCTTACTTTGCACCTCCATGAAAGATTGCAAGGTGTTCTCAAGAGAACTCATTGGCTGTTGCAAATTGTATTGAGGTGCAGAATACACCTTTGGTGGTTGTGACTGTTGCTCAGTCCTCCATTGTCCTCCTGATGGGTGGGCTTGGTTGGAATCTCTCTAACTGAAGTTTGGATGGTTCCTCCAGCCAGGATTGTATGTGTTAGAGAAAGGTTTGTTGTACGATCCTAAGACATTGCATTGCTCCTCGTAAACCCCTATCATTTCATTGTAAGCAGGGCAATCCTTAGCTAGATGTTCCACCCCTCCACAAACGAGGCAAGGCTCTTGTAACTCTGCCCTAGCAACCATGTGAATTTCTCTACCTTCTTTGATTTTAAGGGTCTCAATTTGTCGTGTCAAAGACTCAATTTGAGCTTTGAGATTGTCCTCTTCCATTAGTTGATAGATTCTTGATGGTCGGGACTGATTGGTGCTGTCAGTAGCACTTGGACCAGTCCATATGTGGGCTTTTTTGGCTAACTCATTAAGATACTCAAAAGCCTCTTCGGGGTCCTTTTGGAGAAACTCACCATTGCACATCATCTCCACAAACTGGCGCTCTCGGATCGTGAGTCCTTTATAGAAATAACTGACGAGGTGCCAACTCTTGTAACCATGGTGGGGACACTGATTTAACAAATCCTTGAACTGTTCCCAAACTTGATACAGAGTTTCATTGTCTTTCTGGGTAAAAGTCGAGCTGTTGCTTCAGACCATTGGTCTTATGGTGAGGGAAATACTTGTTGAAAAATGCTGTCGTCATTTCTTCCCAAGTTCCAATAGACCTAGGTCACAGAGAATACAACCAGCTTTTTACCTTGTCCTTCGAAGAGAAAGGGAAAAATTTCAATCGCACAGAGTCCGCGGCTTCAATTCGGTTGTGAAAAATGGCCACCACTTCTTTAAACTCCCTAATATGCACGTATGGATTCTCGCTCTCTAACCCATGAAAGGTCGGCAAAAGTTGGATCATGCCTGGCTTGAAATCCAAATTTGGCATATTAGGGGGAAACATTATGCATGACGATGTGGCCGTACGTGTAGGGTGGAGATAATCGTTCAACGTCTTATGCTGGACCTCCTCGTTTTGAGCCATCGCGAATGGATTTTCAATTGCTAATGAGGCTAGGGTCGAGGGAGGACTAGACTTGTGGGAAGAAATTTCACTAGGGTTTTCTGGTCTTCTTGCGAATCTCCCTGATTCGTCTTTACAACGATTCATTCACTCTACAGCGTTTTACTTTTTTTAATTTTTTTAATTTTTAATTTTTTTGAAACAAAGAAAACAATAATGTAGAACCGTTTATATATAAGAGGTTTTTAATAGATACTCGCACACAAATAACGCACTAATTTCTGACGCATTAAAATACACATACACGGTCGGTAATCTGAGGGGAAACTAAGAGGTAACCCGGCCGGTTTTTTGTTGGCGAAATTTGACTGCCAACAATTGGCGACTCCGCTGGGGACCGAAAGCGTTCGACCCCCAACAACATAGCGATAAGCCGCCGCCCGTCCAGGGAATAGCGGGATGGAAGGAGATCTACGCCCGGTCAAAAATGAAGTTCCACCTCCAGACGCGCCACGGCCGGATCCGATCCAGATGCAGACCCAATTGACCGCTCTAACCGAACTGGTACGTGGGCTAATGACCGTAGTGGAGCGCTTAGATGGAAGGAACTCGATGCCACCATTAGAAGATGCTCCGATGCCACAAGGACCCGCCATGGCCGGAGATCCAAACCGCGGCGACTACCCACCTATCCAAGAGGGAACCGGAGATAGTGAGAATCGTCGGGGCCCTCCTAGGCCTCGGCCTTCCCGATCCCCCGGCAGCCGTTTGGGGGCCGCCGGGCTCCGAGCTCCCGAGGACCGAGTACTGAGAGGTCCTGGAAACCCCGAGGTACTACCTCAGAATCCAAGTAGAAACCCGCCAGGAGACTCAGGCTCAGTGCAGGTAGGCGGCCAGGCCCGAGGTGGACCCAACGTTCAGAGGGCGGAAGCGTCAAGAGTAGCCGGCTCGGCCATTTCGACAGAGGAAGCGCGCACCATCATGGAACGTATGGCCAGCCTGGAGCCAAAACTGATAGGGGACGTGGCGGGCCTAAAAAAGAATATAGGTCGTGTGGCTGAGGTGGTAAACGTCGATATCACGCCCAGTCGCACACATGACCATCCATTTACCGAAGAAATAATGGCACCCCTTCTCCCCGATAAATATAGGTCGCCGTCAATCCCGCCATATGATGGGCGAGAAGATCCCGACGACCATCTGGAGATGTACACCGGGCACATGCTCTTACACGGTTACGCTGAGGAGATCATGTGCCGAGCCTTTCAAAACCATTTGACGGATTCTGCACGGAGGTGGTTTCGAATGCTGAGGCCAAACTCTATCTCGAGCTGGGATGAGTTGAAGGAAGCGTTTTCCCTCCAATTCATAGGGGTAAAAAAGTACGTCCCCCCAAAGCAGAATCTGACGACGATATATCAAAAGCCAAATGAGTCATTGAGGGAATGACTCGCAAGGTATGGGGAGGCTGTCACCGCCACAATGGACATAACAGATAGAGAAGCCTTGATGGGGGCCTTATCTAGCATGAAGAACATAACCCCATTCAAATGAGAGCTAAACCGAAAACCTCCGACCAGCTACAGAGAATTTTTGGCGCGAGCACAGGGGTACATCAACACCGAAGAGGCAGACGCGAACGACCCCGAGCACCGGACCAACAAGAATAAAGGAACCGAACAGGGGTCAGCGCCTACGATGCATGATGGGAAGAAGCGTCGAGGTGGAGGAAATGGGGACAAGCAGCCCGCCGCAACGACGAGCGCTCCGGAAGCCAAAAAGCCGAGGCAAGAGGACACCCGAAGGCCTTGGCTATTCTAAAAGTACGATTCCTACCATGAGTTAACGGTAGGAGTCGAGGAGGTTTTCAACCAAGTCTGCCACGGGAACTTGCTACGCCGACCGAAAGCGATGAAGTCAGACCCCAGCCGTAGGAACCAGAAGAAATTCTGTAGGTTCCATGGCGATGTCGGCCACCACACCAACGATTGTGCCGACCTCAAGGACGAGATCGAAAGATTGATCCGCGAGGGAAGGTTACAGGAATTCAGGGCCGAGCGAAGGATCCGAAATGACGGCCATGGTGGGCAGAATGACGGTTGACGCCGAGAGGAGAACCAGCGCCCAGAGGACCGTGAACCCGTCGGCGTCATAAGGATTGTCCTCGGCGGTCCCTATATAGGAGGAGACTCGAGGAGGTCTCAAAAGGACTACGCCCACGAGGCCAGGGGGGTTTATCAGGAGCGATTCTGGAGCATCTCTTCCGCAAAAGCTCCAAGATACAGCCACACGGATGTGGCTTTTAACGAGAATGACGCTAGCGGGGTTCATTTTCCCCACAACGATGCCTTGGTGGTGGAAGCCATGATAGGAAACCACACTGTGTGCAGAATCCTGGTGGACAATGGGAGCTCGGTGGACTTCCTATACTCCGATTGCTTGGAGAAAATGGGGATCCAGAAGGAACAATTGGAGAAAACCTCCAGGCCGCTATATGGTTTCACAGGCGACTCCGTCATCCCTCAAGGGACCATCCGCCTACCCATAACTGCCAGTGAAAAACCTCGATAGGCAACCACAATGGCCAATTTCGTGGTCATAAAAGGAAGCTCCCAGTACAACGCGGTAATCGGGAGGCCAACCCTCCAAGCGTTAAGAGCAATAACCTCCATTTACCACCAAAAGGTCAAGTTCCCCACCCCAAAGGGCGTGGGGGAAATGAAGAGCAACCAGTATGAAGCTAAGGTTGCGTACTCTGACGCCCTGCGCGGATATGACCAACCGGGGAGACAGGAGACAAGGATGGTTCACCAAGGCCTTGTCAAGGATATAGATCCCCGGATCCAGGAGGAAATCACATGGTCTCAACCTGTAGAGCAATTGGTGGAAATCCGAGTTGGTGAAGGCGAGTCCACCAGAGTGCTAAAAGTGGGCTCAGGCTTAGCCCCATCACTTAAAGATGAGATCGAAAACTTCCTTAGGAAGAACCTAGATGTCTTCGCCTGGAATCATTCCGACATGGAAGGAATCGACTCCGAAGTAATATGTCACTCCCTGAACGTCGACCCCTCATATCCACCTAAACGACAAAAGCGTCGGCCGATGAACCTCGAGCGATATGAGGCGCTGAGAGAAGAGGTCGACAAGCTGATTGATAATGGGTTTATCAGGGAGTCCCATTATCCTCGTTGGGTATCAAACCCCGTTCTAGTGATCAAGCCCAATGGAAATTGGAGGACATGCATCGACTTCAGTCATCTCAATAAAGCCTGCCCAAAGGATGGCTTTCCACTCCCTCGCATAGACTAGATGGTCGATGCCACGGCGGGACATGAGATGCTGAGCTTTATGGACGCTTACTCCGGATACAACCAAATCCTCATGCATCCAGCCGACGAGGAGCACACATCCTTCATAATCGACAAGGGCCTCTACTGCTACAAAGTGATGCCTTTCGGCCTAAAAAATGCAGGGGCTACCTACCAGAGGCTTGTAAATAAAATGTTTGCCCAACATCTCGGCAAAATAATGGAGGTCTATGTTGACGATATGCTGGTAAAAAGCACTAAGGCTAGCCATCACGTCGACCATCTGGGGGAAATGTTTGATGTGCTAAGAAAATACCGCATGAAACTCAATCCCCAAAAGTGCACCTTTGGAGTTGGGTCGGGAAAATTCCTCAGTTTTATGGTCAGCAACCGGGGGATTGAAGCTAACCCTGAGAAGATCAAGGCCCTACAAGATATGCGGTCCCCAACGAAGCCGAAAGAGGTACAAAGATTGACAGGATGCGTTGCCGCCTTAAATAGGTTCATATCAAAAGCAACCAACAAATGCGTCCCCTTCTTCGACGCTTTGAAGGGAAGCAAGCGCTTTGAATGGACGCCCCAATGTGAATAGGCCTTCCAGAAATTGAAGGAACATTTGGGCAAGCCCCCAATTCTGTCAAAGCCAAACATCGACGAAGAGCTTAGCCTATACCTCTCCGTATCCCAACACGCCGTAAGTTCTGTGTTAGTAAGAGAAGAAGAAAGGGCGCAGCTGCCAATCTACTACGTGAACAAAAGGCTTCTCGACGCCGAGTCAAGATACAGCGAGATGGAGCGCCTTGCCTTCGCCCTGATGGTAGCTTTAAGGAAGTTTCAGCACTATTTCCAGTCTTACACAATACGGGTTCTCATGAACCACCCGCTGAGGCAGGCTCTGCAAAAGCCCGAAACTTCCCGTCGACTCCTCAAATGGTCGGTAGAGTGAAGCCAGTTCGACATAAAGTACGTGCCGAGAACTGCGATCAAGGGCCAAGCGCTCGCCGATTTCTTGGCTGAGTTCTCCCATAGGCCAACTCCCGCCATACCTGGAGAAGTCGACGTTATAGAATGGAAACTCTACGTGGATAGGGCGTCGAGTGAAAATGGGTCAGGAGCCGGCATCCTGTTAATTAGCCTCGAAGGCCACAAAATTACCTCGGCGGTCCGATTTAAATTCAAGGCATCAAACAACGAGGCGGAATATAAAGCACTAATTGCCAGACTGCGGTTAGCCAGCCACCTAAAGGTTGAAAGACTCAGCATCTTCAGTGATTCTCAATTAATTGTCGCGCAGGTGAAGGAAGAATACCAAGCGCGTGGTGAGAAGATGAGAGCGTACTTAAGAAAAGTAAAGGAAGAATTCGTTAAGTTTAAAAGTTACGAGATACTCCAGATACCACGAACCGAGAATGCAAACGTCGACGCTCTGGCAAAGCTAGCATCTTCTAGAAAATCTGACACACTAGGGGTCGTCCCCATCGAGGAATTGGAGCGACCAACTATAGAAGAAAAGGTAGAGGCATTAATTGTCCGATTAGATGAAAGTACCCCCTCATCCGATACCTAATGAATGCACAATTGCCAAACGATAAGGATGAAGCCAGACGGGTCAGGTATAGAGCCGTTAAGTACTTATTATATGACGGCTTGCTCTACCGACGAGGCTACTCAACCCCTCTATAGCGGTGCTTGGATGAAACCGAGGCACAAAAGGTCCTCCACGAAATCCATGAAGGGATCTGCGGTAACCACTCTGGGGGGCAGTCTTTGGCTCTAAAGGTGTTGTGACAAGGATACTATTGGCCCACGCTAAAAAAGGACGCTTTTCAGTACGCCCGACGTTGCGATAAATGTCAAAGGTATGCCACGATTCCTAGAGCGCCCCCGGAACATTTGACGACCATTCTCAGTCCTTGGCCCTTCGCCAAATGGGGGGTTGACTTGATCAGGCCATTACATCTTGCGCCCGGAGGATTTAAGTTTACAATCGTTGCGGTAGACTACTACACAAAATGGGCAGAGGCAAAGGCCTTAACTACAACCACGGAAGCAGCCTGCACCAAATTTATGTGGGATCACATCGTGTGCAGGTTCGGGGTTCCCCACTCAATAGTATCCGACAACGGAAGGCAATTCGACAACGCCTCAACGCGCAGGTTCTGCGATGACTTGGGCATTCAGAAAGTTTTTTCAACGCCGATCCATCCACAATCCAATGGACAAGTCGAGGCGGTCAATAAGATATTAAAGTATACCCTTAAGAAAAAACTCGACGATCTGAAAGGGAAATGGGCCGAGGAACTTCCCATGGTCTTATGGACATACAGAACGACGAGCCGAACTACTACGGGTGAGACACCCTTCTTCATGGCATACGGCGTCGAAGCAGTGCTCCCCATAGAGATCGAAACGCCGACTCTAAGAACCGTCGTCCATAACGACGATGACAACACGGAAGGCATGAACGGAGAGCTCGACTTGTTGAAGGAAAAAAGGCTCGACTCCCAACTACGTCTCGCCGCTTATCAGCAAAGAACGACGCGATATTACAACAAGAAAGTTTGACAGAAGAGGTTCATCCCAGGTGACCTAGTACTAAAAATGGTAACGCAAAGCACAAAACCCAAAAATACTGGTCCACTGGGCCCAACTTGGGAAGGGCCCTACCGCATAAGGAAAATGCTACGTCCCGGAACCTATGTTTTGGAAAGCCTCGACGGCAAGAAGATCCAACACCCGTGGAATGCGGAACAACTAAAGCTGTACTACCAATAATGTATGAAATTCTCGCATATCTCAATTGTACATTCTTTATAAAGTGAATAAATTGATATGTTTGCAGAAGGAAAAGAATTCACCCCATAATAACATGTCTGCTTAAAAACCAAGGTTATATTAAACAGACATGGGGGGACAGGGATCCACGAGTTAAATAAAAAAGACAAAGGACTTAGCGAAATTCCAAGGAATTTCCTGAGACGACGACCCCAAGGGGCACAATCGACGTCAGATCCTCCAAGGAGGAAAGACAAAGGACTTAGCGAAATTCCAAGGAATTTCCTGAGACGACGAGCCCAAGGGGCACAATCGACGTCAGATACTCCAAGGAGGAAAGACAAAGGACTTAGCGAAATTCCAAGGAATTTCCTAAGATGACGACCCCAAGGGGCACAATCGACCTCCAAGGAGGAAAGACAAGGGACTTAGCGAAATTCCAAGGAATTCCCTGAGACGACGACCCCAAGGGGCACAATCGACGTTAGATCCTCCAAGGAGGAAAGACAAAGGACTTAGCGGAATTCTAAAGAATTTCCTAAGACGACGACCCCAAGGGGCACAATCGACGCCAGATCCTCTAAGGAGGAAAGACAAAGGACTTAGCGAAATTCCAAGGAATTTCCTAAGACGACGACCCCAAGGGGTACGCTCGACGCCAGATCTCCCAGAAAAGAAAGGCGAAGACTTAATAAAGAAAGCAGCAATTGCGAATCAAGGTATAAATTAAAACTGTGGTCATTTGAATATATATATATAAGGAGCAGATAAAACAAAAGATGTCCAGATCAACAAAAAAAAAATTTATTATTACAAACCAAAAAGAGGCAGGTAAAAATCCTTCAGGCCTCACCAGCAGCTCCCGAGTCTCCGCCGTCACCAGGCGGAGAAATATTGTCATCACCCGCAGGAGGGGGAGTTATAAAGAAAGCTCAAATCCTACTCAGGACGCTCATTATTGATCAGGTCGACAATTTGTTGACCCGCAGATTGAAAGCCTCTGGTGCGGATATCAATAAGCTCTTGGGAGGCCTTGAACTCCTCAATAATCTCGGCACGCCTGGCATCAAAAGCAAATACAGCTTCCGCCTCAGCTTCCCTCTTCCCCTCAGTAAAACGCCTCTCCGCTTCCCTAGCTGCCTCGGACAATTTTTGGTCAAATAAGTCCACCCGCTCTTTGAGACTCGCGATTTCATTTTTTAACTTTAGAAGTTCTTCTTCCAAACTCGCCAGCTTGGCCAAGGCCACGTCCCTCTTCTCGTTGGCATCATCTAGCTTTTATTTTGCGTCGGTAACAAGGGACTGAAGTTTGGCCTCCAGCTCATCCATCTCATTTTTTCGCTCTTTGACCTTGACAAGGTCAAGGAGGTTGAGAATGGAAAGGACCAGGCTCTGAAAAAGTTGAAGGTAAAAAAAAAATAAAAAAAAGGAGAGGGCCTTACGTGGATTTGGAAGGAAATCTGCTTTCACTGACGGTCGACCAAAGAA